CATGCATGTTCCTACTGAGAATTCCCCACAACTACTGAGATGTTCTGAGAACTTTGCAGTGGTCACTAAAAGACCAACTACAGTAAACTGAAAAAAAGCAGCTCTGTTGAGCCATTGCACTGGTAGGTTTAACGTAGTTCCCGTTCAAAGGGCCCATATCCTGTCCAGTATTTCATTCTCACTCAATGTTTGTGTAATTTTATGTATCAAAAACAAATCGTAATTAATTTTTGTGATTTAACCAACCTCTATTTAATTCATACACTTAAACAGGCTGCCTTTATTGCAACATTGTGCCTGCATAATTGAATGTTTACGATGTAAACAGAGTCATTCTGAGTGGTTTGTTGTGAAACGCTCAGTTCTAGAGTCAGAGCTGTTCACAGTGGTGGTGACAGGAACCAGACGTCCACCTCTAAAAGCTCCCTCACAGAAAGTCACTACATGAAATGGTTATGAATTCACTGCCTGATGACTGAGACGATAGTTTTGAGAAGATTTTCGGCCTTAAACTCCATTCATGGTGGAGGGATACATAATATGCAGGGCGCTGTGAGGCAAAATAGTCCCCCAAAAATGTATTACTTCAGATTTATTGCTATTTTCCATCATCAACATTCCATATAAGCTCAGAAGACTCGTGTAGGTTCACTGGTGGTTCTGGACAGTAAATAAAATGTCTATATTTGTGTTGTAGTCATGGCGACCTCTGGTTCCTATCACCACCACTGTAAAGACATCTGAACCATCTCACACCAAACCACTCTGAACCTCTGTTTACACCTCAAACATGGATTATGGAGAGAATAGCATGATATGGGCCCTTTTGGATGGCAGCTAAACACACCACAATCTATCCACACAAAGCCTGCTGAGCACATATAAGAGGGGCACTTATCAGTGCATTCCTTTGTGTGGATGTATGTGTGGGGGAACAAACAAGCGGCAGGAAGGCGGACCGCGAACAATTCGGCGTAACGCAACAATTTACCCCCCTCTTTGCGCGCTACGCTGAAATGTTTCCACCGGAGACGGACGGATGTGTAAATATTTGAGTGATTAGTCTACAAAACACACACGAGCTCATAAATGAGTCACGAAGCGACGCTAGCATGACGGACACGACACACCAGGGAGCCGCTGCACATCTGCTAGAAGTAGGTCGTGGAGGTTGTGGCAACGTGGCCACAACTTTAGAGCAATGCAACCGCAACTCTCGGGTGACGCAGGGTTATTGGACTGCGAAGATGTGGAGCTAATCCCAAGCTGCAATAAATTAGCATGCTAGTACCGAACAAGCATCCTAGGCGTGCTAGCACAGCTGGTCGTTATAATGTTCTCCCAAACCCAGCACGAGTCCACACGCCACACAAACAGATGCTCTAACTAACAGTGTTCAGGCTTTAACACACATTCAGGACATTTGGGGGTACAGATACTATTAATGGGCACGTAGATCATAAACTGCAGCAGAATTCAGAGTCTATGCTTCTTTCTCCCAAAGATACACAGCATAAAGATGAAAAAAAAGAAACATGTCATCAATAAACACACTTTACAAACGGTTAAGTTGATTGGTCGGCAAGGAGGAATAGTCCGATTTTTTTTTTTTCATCCAATCACGAGGATGAAGCGCAAGTTAATTTACAAGCTATCCACGAGTCTTCCAACTCTTGTCGCCTTCTCTGGATAGCAAAAATGACAAAATAAAAAAAAGGAAAAGGAGAAAACATTAAAAACAATAAAAAACTGATGATGGGACTATTTACAGTACATTAGAATGAATGAATGAGTCAATAAACACTATATGAACACATATAAAACTAAATATGCACCACTTCTGTATAATTATTATTATTATTATTGTTGTTGAAGATGTGCCGCCCCCACCTCTAAACACACACACACACACACACATACACACAGTCTCCCCCAGAATGATGGCATAAGATGGTTCTTCAAGGGTTCTTTAGTAAAGACAATGGATCTATATAGAACCATAAACGCTCCAAGAACGATTTGCATGATCAAATGGTTCTTTGCATGGTGAGTGTTCTTTAGATTGGGGGATCTTACATATTTATGTTTCTGCATCTTATGTAGTGTATATATTTTGATAAGGGTTCTATGTCGCACCCAAAAAGGTTCTTCTACTGTAACGTTGTCAAGCTTGTAACAATATACAGAACCTTTTATAACACGTTCTCCATCATTCTGAAGAACCATTTCACCCTGCAAAGAACTCTTTAACCAAGCGAAGGGTTCTTTGAGTGTTCAGGGTTCTATATAGAACCCTTTTTTAGGTGTGTGGGAATCTGATTAGAACACATCAATACTACTTGATAATTAATGTACATGTGGGTATCTGAACATTATTAGTATCTACACTTATAAATAAATTATGGTTAGACTCACAGAATAGAGCATAATCTGCTTGTAATGTTGCCGGTCATGTTTTTAACTATGCGTGTATTGCAAACATCCCTAACTTTGAATGCCCACTGAAGAACACGAAGACCACATGAGCTGTTAAAATGAGTTTTAAAAAGGTAAATATTTGTTTTCTATGAGGTTTACATCACTCAACCAATCCCAGCTCAGATATATAAGCAGCTGATTCAATGAAATGGGTGTTTGGCCCCCAAAGTCAAGAACGTCTGCACTCGTTCTGGTCTGTGGATGTCAATTTCATTTAGGCGATGTGATTTACATTGAATATGAAAAGGCAACTAGTCGAAACAAAAAAAATAAATAAATAAACCTCTAACTGATTGACAGCTACAAAAGCACAGCTTGGGTCACTTGAGCCAAATTCTTGTATGAAACATGTCGTATGTCAGGTGAAAAGGCCACACTAAGGGGCCACCGGAAAAGTGTGTCTATGTGGTTCTAAGGCTACGTTCACATTACACACCTCAAATCAGATTTTTTCCCCAGATCCACAGATCCACTTCCAAATCTCTCATTAATGTGAACAGATTCACTCCCTGAAGCAAGACGCTGCTGCCGCGGTACTAAAAAACCCTCACATGGATTCTGATCTGACCGTTCTCATCAAGAATCAGACACGTTCCCAATCAAGGACCACACACGAAAGGCTGTGTTCACATTATCAGGTTGAAGTAGCAATAATCCGATTTTTTGCCCTAATGTGACTCAGATCTGATGTTTTGAGAGCTGTGTGGACACGCGAATCTATTCAATCTATTCAATCTGATCTTTTCATATCCAACCTGAGCCACTTTCATATGTGGTCCTAGATCGGATACGTATCCGATTTGTGGCCATGCGACCTTAACGTGACGCTCAGATCGGAATTCATCTGCTTTTTCCGCACTGCGCGTTCAGCGTTACTCTGGCGGCAGCAGCGCAAACAGAAGTTAAAGCCTGTAAACGGTGGAAAAGCAGCTCATCTCACCTTTTTCTCCTTCGTCTCGCTCTAATAATGAAGCTGAGAGCTGCTCAGAGTTAATGATCTTCTCAGCGAAGCTCGTTCTGCTCGTTAGTTTGTGCTGATGATGAACGTGATTCATTCACGTGACGTTACTGAGTAGGATGAGCTCATGAGGGTCATTTCAGGACGCCGGTTCGTCACATTAATGACAGATTTGAGTCACTTACCTAAACGAGTGTGAACCATCGAGTCAGAGAGATCGGATTTGAGCAAAAAATCAGATTTGAGCAACGAGGCTTGTAATGTGAACGCAGCCTAAGTGGATTTGATTTGTTCACACGGCTCTGAAAAATAATCAGATCTGTGCCACTTCAGCCTGGTAATGTGAACGCAGCCGAAACTATTTACTAACAAATAAGCTGCATATATTTGATGTTAGATTTGGACTCATCAGTCAATTAAAGGTAAAAAGGTATGGAGTGTGTGGAGAGCTCACTGAACTCACTGATTTCCTTATTAGCATTCTCCTGACATCTTTGTCAGTTTCTGTACTTGGAAGTAACTAAAAGAATAAATGATAATAATAGTAATAATAATAGTTCATGATTCTCAATTTTCTGGACATGAGAAAAAATGAAATAAACCAAAAAAAACAAAAAAAAACAAAAAAAAAAACTTCAATTTAATTGTCTCCAATTATCAGCCTTGGTAAGGCTTGATAACCTCCAATCTGGGACTAACCGCCCCTAACCACTCCGTCACCGTGCTCGACTCACCAACACCTCGTCCTGCACCCCCATCCACGGACTGCACGTGGCACAGCTGGGATTCAAGCATTTTTCATTTTAGAAGCTAATATAGTCGCTAGCCAATCAAAACAACTGCAGCGCTGATGGTCGGTGGCTCAAATGGTATGAAAAAAAATTTAAAAGTTTAAAAAAATGTTAACAGCAGCATCTTAAATTAATTTGAGCAGTTTTCTGTGTAAAAGTTGTAAAACAGCTACGTTTACTAACATTTATATTCAGATGTTGATTGTGAGTTTTAAAACTAGCGGCGCTCTACGTCCAATCTCAGCATCCTACGCAAGTATCTAAGCCTCGTTCCCAATCGGAGAAAAATCTCGTTCTTCCCAAACTGCAAATGTCAGTTTCACTTTGCTGATGCTATTAATATTCATTTTTATGGTGGTGTGATTTTTCAGTGCTAACACTGATGCTAACACCACTTCCTTACATTGATTTTTCCCAAATAAAAACTGTAAAATGACCACACGCAAGAAAAGCTGAGTGTAGCTCAGAATCTGCTAAGACGTTTCGCTCAGACTGGTTATTCCTAAGCAGCACGTTTACTTTCGTGTTAAAAATGAAGATCTAGACGGCTCCCGATCTGAAGAACCAATGCACTCTAACCTGTTCCTCCCAACTGCTGCAAATGCAGTTTCACTTTCCTGATGATTTTCATATTGACAAACGAAGCACTCGCTAGCTAGGCAGCTAAGTAGCTAACGCTAATGCTAACGCTGGCGCCGTTACAGTCAGTGGCGGAGGGTGGATCTGCCCTTGGGGTGGTGGGTGATCTGAGTCCCGTTGCTGTCGGAGTGTACCTCTTGGTCCAGGGTGTTGAACTGGACACCGGCGTGCTGCCCCCTCTGGCCGGCGCGAGGACAGAGGCAGCAGAGGATCCGTTTGAAGGTGCGGCGCATGTCCTGGTCTCGGTACGAGTAGATGATTGGGTTCATCAGGGAGTTCATTTCAGCCAGAACCAGGAAGTACTTCTCAACCCTTAAGACGAAATCTTTATCTGTCACACCGTCCAGCAACAGCAGGACCAAACCCGGCGTCCAGCAGATCACAAAACAACCTGAGGGAGAGAGAAAGAGAAATAAGGTGAATATATAACTACTATTATTATTATTATTATTATTATTATTAATTATGTGGGTGCTGGAATCCTTCTTGGAATTGCTAGAATTTTTATTATTGATAATCCAGACCATATGCACAAAATGACAAACTGAGGAGGCTCCCAAATTTGGCTCGAAGTGGTCTTGGCTGGGGGGGTCACTACGATGCTTAATTAAGTAAAGTCTCTTGCAGACACACATTCATGGGTCCAAATGGCACAATTAATTAGGAACCCAAGCCCAAGTTATTAATTGTTCAACAGATGTTTCTGAGGAAAGTCAAAGGAAAAAATACAGGAATTTCCAAAACTTAAAAGCTGCAGAGAAAATGTGGCTCCTAACAACCACCTGGAAGAGCTGGTAGCCCCCAAAACTGCCCCCCACCAGATAAACAGCACTTAAAGCTTTCATCTCTGAGAGAGAGGAGAAAATCAAGCTGCTTCAGATCTGAAAACATCCACAGGGGTTTCTGTCCATCCTTCCACTGTGAGAAGACGACTCAGCGCTGTGGGTCTGAAAGGATGTGTAGCGGTCAAGAAGAACCTCACTGAGAAAAGGAGACGGACACATCAAACAAAGAAGCTGAACGATGGACTGACCACCCCAGAGTCCAGACCTCAACACCACTGAATGTGTTTGATTACTTCAGAAAATGATCAACCAGCTTCTAAGACTGAACTTTGGAGGCGTGTCTGCAGATTCTTTGAGGAACTGAAAGCGAGTGGGTTAAAATGTGTGTTTTCTGGTGCTGAAAAATGAATAATTTGTATTTAACGGCTGTTTTGTTTGGAAATTAATAAATGATGGGGGGGGGGTCTCTGACAATTTAGTCTCTGGTGCTGATATGAAACAGGAGAATTTCACAAGAATTTAAGCATTTCCAGACCATGTGTGTGTGTGTGTGTGTGTGTGTGTGTGTGTGTGTTTTCTTTCATATGCGAGTGTGAAGCAAGCTGTTCTGTCAGGACACACACACACACACACACACACACACAACGCAGGGAGTGGAGTGATAAAGACAAGGAATTTAATCTGAGGGAGAGACTGAGAGAGAGAGAGAGAGAAATGAGATAGAAAGAAAAGAGCAAGTGAAAGAAAAAGTGAAATAAAGAGAAAGATAACAAGAGAGAGAGAAATGATAAAAGTAGAAAGAGGGAGAGAGACAGAGGTGTTCGAGAATGAAGAAAGGCTGGATAAACGAGTCTGAACACGTCTGACACAGAACAGCCTCTGAACCCTCCTCCCTCACACACTAACACACCACCACCACGTCAGTGTTACTGCAGTGCTGAGAATGACCCACCACCCAAATAGTACCTGCTCTGCGCTGTCATAACAACTTGTATCTCGATCTATCTATTTATTTGAGAATTTTAAAATGCTAACTGTCCTTTAGAATGTGCTCTAAGACTATTTGGTATGTACACACGCACACACACACACACACACACGCACACGCACACGCACACGCACGCACGCACACGTGTGCGAGTCTGGGCGACTTACCCAGGATGACGAAGACGGTCCTCATGAGGCTTTCCACCGTTTCTTTGTGCTTGACCTGCGTCGTGTGCTGGCTCATGCGCTGGCTCTTGTGCCGGACGTACATGAAGATGCGCGTGTAAACCACCACCATGATGGTGAAGCTCACCAGGTTCAGCACAGCCCAGAACACCAGGTAGTCCTTGTGGTACAGGGGCGCCATCATCGAGCACTTCTTGAGGTTACATACGCAGTTCCAGCCCATGGTGGGCACCAGGCCCATCAGGATGGCCACCACCCAGATGCCCAAGATCAGCAGCAACACACGCTGGTTGGTCATTTTACTGTGCAGCTGCATGGTGAAGATGGTCTGGTGCCTCTCCAGAGCGATGGCCATCAGGTTTATGACCGAAGCGGTCAGACTGGTGTCGATCAAACCCTACGACAAACACGGAGAACATCTGAGCAGCTGTGATTCGGTCATTAAGCAAATAATACTGTTTCAAATGTATGTTTTGAATAATGGCAACTTCTTCCGCCACAAAAAGTAGTTCCGTTAGCTGATCATTCAGTGGAATGGTACACTAGGTGTAGATGGGTATGGTGGGAAAAAAAATGTGCTGTTGTCACAAATAATGTGTCAAGCACTTTTCAACCTATCGGACGGTGTGGGTGGAGCTAACTGGTGTACGATAAAGAAACAGTTCGGTGAAAAATTTCCACAATTTTCCACCTGTAGTCAAAGTTTGCTTCATTAGTTTTGCTCTAGAGCTACGAGGCTAATATAGCTAACAAGTAATGCATGCTGACACCCCGCCGCTTATTTACTGCACATAAGCATATTTTGTCATATTATATTTTGTGGCTGTTTTATAAGAGCAATCATCCACTGGAGGCAGCGCTGTTAGTCATTTACTCCATTCAGTGATGCCTAACAACACCACTAACCGTGGGAAATCAATCTAGTCAATCTAGTTAGTGATGAAGTCATAATAAGAAATACCTCATCATTAATACAGAAACTCTGATAATGTTTAATTGCTGCTAGCTTGGGTTGGTGTTAGCATTAGACTTAGTAGCCAACCTGATGATCATACAGTTGATTCCTAAATTAAAAACAATAAAAAAGCTGCTATGCTTTGCGAACGTCGGTTTCTTTTCTCATTTAAAGCAGATAAGCAGCGAGTGGTTAACGAGTGGTTGATCCAGTTCAGCTTTGAGCCAAGTAAACTTTAAAAAAAGTTAAACAATAATGACGAAACCTCAGAAAACAGCCTCAGTGATAATGACCATCACTCTTTCTGTCGTAAATGAAGAGTTCAAACTAACTCGCACTCAAACACACAGCAGGCTAACAGCAGAAGGTTTGATTCCCTGCTGCCATAACACAGTTCACTTCAATGCTACAGGAGTTTGCTCCTGTGCTAAAAATAATATATACCTCAGTAAATGAGAGGTAAAACAGATCTTTAGAGTTAAAAGCATAATAAAACCATAATGAAGACTGCTTATAAAATGGCTGAACCAATCACTCTGATTTTTGTCTCTGTAGATGAAACTTTTCGGTTAGCGAGGTTAAGGTTAGGTAGTTCTTAACTGCAATCAAACAACCAAAGGTCAACAGAAACTCCTGTAAAGATGATGGATAGCTAAGCTTCTTTCTCAGAATGGTCAGAAATTCTCAAATTTTAGCAGCATACAGCAATACGATTTAACCAAAATTAGCATTTAGCAGTAGGAATTAGCATTTAATAGTAAGAATTTGCAGAATTACGCATTTAGCAGTAACAATCAGAATTAGAATTAAATATATAAACTTTATATATAGAAATAAGTTTTTAGAAGCAAGAATTAGCAGAAGTTGGCATTTGACAGAAAGAATGAACAAAATTAAGCATTTAGCAGTAAGACTTAGCAGAATGTAGAATTGAGCAGGAAGAACATAATGATAATCATATAATATTCGTCATCTTGGAAAATCCACTGTTCTCTATTGTTGAGGACGTTGGATTACAAACTCTAATAATTTTAATAAGTCTATTTTATGGTTTTTATTTGTCGTCAACTGTTTCGGTTTTCAGCTGAGCGCCTCCTGGGTTTCAGTTTTGGTGAAGAATTTCGTCGTGTCCATTCATCAAGACATATTTACGCAATATAAAGCGGCAGCTAGCACATCATAGTCAAGTGGTGTATAAAAACAATAAAACAAAAATTCTGAGATGCTGTTTTGAAATAGTGGCAAGCTGGTGTTCATGTGTAAGTAAGTACGCACCTGTCGGAGGAACCACTGGTAGATTGTCAGCTTTTGGGTCCATGGCCCAGTGTGGAACATCAGGTGCATGTACGCAATCCCGGCGAAAAAATCAGCCGCCGCCAGGTTCCCCAGCAGGTAGTAGATGGGGTAGTGGAACCTTCGGTTTACAAATATGGCTGTCATGACCAGGATGTTGGCCAGGATGATGAAGACGCACACCGTCAGTCCAAGGCTGACCACAATGTAGTCCTGCGTACGCCAGGTGTCCGAAATAGGCTTACGAGAGTTGTTGTAGAAGAACACTATCGATTCGTTGTAGTAGCAGGTCTGTTTAGCTGCAGTTACGGCAGCCATGTTGGTCAAATGTGGAGTTCAGAACTGGACTGGGAGGCGATTGGCTGGCCTGGGGGTGGGAGGGTTGGTTGGCACACCAATGTGGTGGTTCTAGTAGAAATTAAGAAAAGGGGTTCTTGGCTAATGGACTAGCGTGAGGCATTGAGCTTTGGTTCATGTGTTTCTCCTCCAATACACCAAGAACAAGCTTCCGAGGAAGATCTGAAAAAGAGTCAAAACCATATAAATGAAATTTGGAAACAGCAAATTAGACAAAAAGACATCATTAGTTTTTCCTTTAATCCATACCAACTGGTGGGCTGTAATCTTCATGACTTGTTACCTATATGCTTTTAAAATAGATCTTAAGGAGTTCTTTACTAAAGACAGCGGTTCTTTTTAGAACCATGAGTTCTGTACGTAAAATGGTTCAATATGGCACCAATAATGGCTTCTTACAAGGTTACAAACTCCCTTTTTGGTGATATACATTGATCCATTTTCTAAAAAGGTTCTACACAGAACCGTATAAAACACATTCGGCATCCATCTGAAGAACCACTTCACAAAATGGTTTAATACAGAACTCAAAAACCCTTGAAGAACCATCTTTAAGAGTTACATTAGTCTCTTACATTACATTACACTCTTAAACAAGATGGTTCCTCAAAGGTTCTTTAGTAGGTCTTTGCTTGATTAAAGGGTTCTTTGCATAATGAAAGGGTTCTTCAGACAGATGGAGAATGTGCTGTAGATGATTAAATATGGAACCTTTTTGAAAAGGGTTCTACATTGCTCCAAAAGGGTTCTGCTATCATTATGATGTGAAGCTTATATCAATAGAAGAACTCTTTTTGGTGCTACACTGAACCATTTTCAAAAAGGTTCTACACAGAACCACATACAACACATTCAGCATCCATCTGAAGAACCATTTCATGAAATGGTTTCATACAGAACTCCTAAAAACCCTTAAAGAACAATCTTTAACAGTACACATTAGCCTACACTCTTAAAAAACGTTGGTTCCTCAAAGGTTCTTTTGTAGTTCTTTGCTTGATTAAAGGGTTCTTTGCATTATGAAAGCATTCTTCAGATTGATGGAGAATGTGTTGTAGATAGTTCTATACGGAACCTTTTTGAAAAGGGTTCTATATAGCTTCAAAAGGGTTCTGCTATTTTTACAATTGGTGCTATATAAATGTCTTTAAAAAAGGTTCTATATGGAACCATACACAGCACATTTTAGCACTTTATCAACCTGAAGAACGCTTTCATGATGCAAAGAACGCTTTAATCATGCGAAGTCTTTGATGTGTTTGAGTGGTCATGGTTCTGTATAGAACCATCTACTTTACTACAGAACCCTTGAAGAACCATCTTTTTTTAAGAGTGCAGTACCAGCGTAAAGCTAAAGCTAAAGAAGCAAACCTAACTTTTTTTTGGTTTTTGTTTTTTTTTTTGTTTTGTTTTAACAAATTACAGTTATGTCATAGCTACACAGGATAAACCTCAGAGTCATATTCACTGATAAAACAGCTTCAATCGTTTCAATTGGTCAAAATAACCGTGAAATATTTGACGGGAACGGCTCGGGTTGGTGAGCTCACGCACAGCACACTGTACCGAATTCCTGCATGCAAAGAAGAACTGCAAAAAACACAGCTTTATCTTTCACATTCTCTCTTCTCTTCCCCTCCAACACAATCAGTCAGAGTGTAGACTGTAACCTAACCTCAACCCAAACAACCACACTGTCCAGTGCAGAGAGAGAGAAAAACAGAGGGCGAGAGACGCTCCGCTCCAGAGAAGCTCAGTCAGAACTGTTCACAGTGGTGGTGATAGGAACCAGACGTCCACCTCTAAAAGCTCCCTCACAGAAAGTTCCTACATGAAATGGTTATGAATTCACTGCCTGATGACTGAGACACTGTTTTATGATAGTTTAGAGAACTTAAACTCCATTCATGGTGGAGGGATACATGCAGGGCGCTCTGAGGCAAAATAGTCCCCAAAGAAAACTTATTATTTCAGATTTTCCACTATTTTCCATCATCAACATTCCATATAGACTCAGAAGACTCGTGTAGGTTCACTGGTGGTTCTGGATAGTAAATAAAATGTCTTTATTTGTGTTGTAGTCATGGCGACCCCTGGTTCCTATCACCACCACTGTAAAGACACCTCTCTATAATGAACCATGGAGGGAAGTAGGAGATTCCAAGTTGGAAGATACTGTCGTTAATCAGTGACGGCCATATTGCAGACGATCTCATAAGTCTTTCATTTGACAGCCCAACATTTAATGCTCACTGCCTAATTCCATGTATTCCAATAATCTTTCCTGAGTCGTGGATATCGTCAGTACTTGAACACTGTATGTTTCATTACAGAGACAGTTTAATTTGTCCTGTTTTAGCGCAGTACAGAATGTGACATGGGAAATAATAGTCACTGTATTGAGTTTTTAAATGGCTGTTCCTAAATAAGCCGCTGCTAGTTTATTGGGTCCGTTTTGGCTGCACAATGAATCCTATCTTATCAGTATCGCCATATGAGTTTCCACAATAAACACATTGTTAAGAGCTGCGATGACGGAACAGATCAAATTACCATTACATTTACCAGTACTTAACCATTAGGCTGAACAGCCAATTACACCACGCACACAGCACAGCTCGAACACTAACATCCAGAATTAAAAACACATCACACATTAAGATTGTTCTCACATACAGTAAGTGTGCGAGGCAGTAATGGCTACAGTCACAACAAACATATCTAATAACTTAAAGATAAATAAATAAATAAAACTATTCATTCCTGTGCACCTGTGTAAAAATAAATTATACATTTGTTTTTGTGGCCTTTACAGAAAAAACGGTTGAGGCCATGCTGACTGTTTATTTCTTTCTGCTCTCCGTTCTGATGTAAGCAGCCGTTAGTATTTGATTTCTTGTTATTTTGTGCAATAATGGTGCTTTTGTAATTTTGTGTTTTGCTATTTGCTTCAAAGGAGATGTTAGTTTTCTGTTTATCCATCCAAAAAAATCATATCCAGTCAGAGGCGCTCTATTGTAATAATTTACCGCTTCTCATTTTGTCGTCGTGATTTCCGACAGTTTTATCGAACATCACATTTTAGGTCAATATAAAAAAACTGTAATATATTTTTGCCCTATCGCCCTTCTACTTCAGTGCTACTGTAAACCAGGGGTGTCAAGCTCAACCACTAAAAGGGCCATATTAAAAATCTCAGCTGATCTGTGGGCCATCTGTGCTTTTATTTCATTTTTACTTAACATTTTGCCACGACATGAATGGGCCACTGTTTATGCAAAATATGCCAAAAATGCAACATCCGTATAGGCACTGAATGCATATTGAAAAATAATTACGAAAAAAATGAATGGTTTTAGGTAGTTTTTGTTAAACTGCGTGTTTGCTTAAACTAGACCCATCCCATATAAATAAAAATAATGCGTGGGATAATGATAATGATGCACCTTATTAACGAATGAAACGAGGTGTGGGATGAGAGCCTAATATGTGGCATTAGGATCTTGTTCCCATGCCTTACTAAGTCATGGCCACGCTTTAGGATCTCATTCCCACACCTCACTAAGTCATAGCCACGACTTAATTGTCTTGTTCCCAGGCATTACTAAGTTGTGACTATGCATTATTTTTAAGTACACAGGATGTCACCAGCAGGGCTCCATAGCCCATAGATTGTTTTTTGGGCAAAGAAGGAACACACACTATGTTGCAGTGCATGATGGGGACCGTAGTGCATCTCAGGGTGAAACGGGCTATTATAATTGAAAATTAGAATAATTTCCAGGCCGAATATGACTGTGTCACGGGCCTCACTTGGCCCGCGGGCCCTGTGTTTGACACATGGGCTATAAAATGTGTAAAACAGTAAAATACAAATCTCCATAAGGCTGAATGAGCCTGAACTCCCACTGCTACTGTAGCTCTGCATGTGTGAGTGTGCATGTGTGACCAAGCTGGGCAGGGCTGAACTTTAAACACCGGTTACCAGTCCGAGCCTGTTATTACACAAACCAGCACATTCTCCACCCTCCACACTCGTTTATCTCCACCTCTCTCCCGCTGTCTCTCCTCAGGCCTCATTCAGGAAATCTCCCCTCGTAATCCTCACAAACTGATCTGCAGTCCATGTTTATAAAGAACAGTGTGTCATACAGTGTTAGAAACCACATAATCCAGACTACAAGAAATACTAAACACCTCCACATGGTCTGAGGTGAGCGTGCGGTCATCTAACACTGCGCTAACTGGTTGGTATAAGCTTCCAGTACTTGTTAGCTACATTAGCCTCGTAGCTCCAGTGCTAAAACTAAAGAAGGAACGTTCAGACACCGAACATCACCTGATGGGTGAATTATGTGTGGGGTCAGGTGGGAAAATGAGTTTTTATTTTGGCCAAAGTGTCACTTTAATCTACAGCCACACCTCGAGTACATGCGATAAACATTCGAGTCACATTTCTTGGTAAACTCTTATACTACATACTTCTACTTGAACTCTTTCCACAACTGTCGACCCCCAGGTTTTTAAGATAATTTCACTTCGATAACCGATTTTGCACTAAAATAGCTCGTCTTTTACAGGAAGGCAGCCCATTCTGGCATCATCTTTAGTTGGAAGGGAACCCATTATGACAGGATCTCTTTTCTCGGATGGCAGCCTATTTATTTTTACCAACTGCTTGATTTCTCTTCCTGTTCCTTCTTAAACAGTTTGTTTTTGTGAGCATTGATTAAAAGAAAAAAAATCACAGTACTGAGAGTTTTTCAGTCTTTTTTAATGTGACAGGACAATTTTACTGGTGCATTTAGTTCACAAACCACAGAAAAACTAAATATCATGAAAAATATTGTTTAAAAAATTCATGCTGATAACAAGATGGTTCTTCAAGGGTTCTTTTGTAATGAAAATGGCTCTATATAGAACCATGAACACTCAAAGAACCTTTTTCGATGATTACCGTAATTTAACTTAATGATTAAATTACCATCTTTTTGAAAGTGGTTCTATATAGCACCCAAAAGGGTTCTTCTATTGTTACAAGCTTGGGTCTCACTTTATTTGGATAGTCTCCAATAGATTATCTACAGATGTTCAAATTGTTAACAAACTATCTACTGAAACTCTTAACAGTGGTGGGGTTAGGGTCAGGATTTAGACCAGGA